GGTATGCGCTTTAATTGTACCCTTGATAACATATTTACTGTCTTATTATTAGTATACCTATTATAGATTCTTCACAGTATAACTACGACCCAATTTCCCTTTTTTTCCTATATTCAAGAATCGTTCCCTATATATACAAGGTTTTCCCGCTCACGGAAGAAAAAATTTCGAAGGTGGGGTTCACATACATACATTAGACCTTCATTACCATTGACTCAAACACGTCAATCATTCCGAGGACGTTAGTGAGAAACTGGGCCAATCGCAGTGAGTCACCGGACCGTCGGATGCATATGATTCATCTGTACCAGAAATGGTCCTCTGGAAAGTATCCTGAACTGTTTATTCGGCGTTTGTGGCATGAGGACCACTATTTGGGGTTTGTGGATGGATCGTCTACCGTTTAAAGTCGGATTCAATTATTGTGGTTCGAATTACTATTTGTGGTTATGTGTTCGGCCCTATTACAAGCGGAGAGATCGGTGTTTAAAATGGAAAGATTATTGCTAGCGAGGCGGTTTTGTGGCGAGATGAGATGCATATTTATGTCCCAGAATTATGCGGTAATAAATGCAGTGGCATGGTGATAGGGATTCAAGGAGAAAGACGGGTGGACGATGGTAGGAAGCTGAGAGGAGAATGAGGAGTATAATTGGCATCTTGGCCTTGGTTGAGTTTGAGTATTTTAGGATGCAAATTGCGTGTTCGGAATTTTATACGAAAAAGGTACGAACAACATTACATAATACACCGAGATTGTTATTATGTTCCTAGTTGCAGCTATATAGTTTATGTAGATGTTCTGTAGTTACGCGGGATAGTCAAAAGTAATATCTGGGCACATCGAGATTGAGTCGCGTTTCTCCTTTATTGTTATTGCCTCTTAAAGTGCAAAGGGAAGGTCGGATTACCTGATTCGACGCTAATGAGCTGGATGCTGGCTACAAAAGAAAATTTTGCGTTTACACCACTGAAGCAGTTAGTATTCAGCAAATTGCTTGTAACACGAGACCATTATTATTTACTGGGGTTGATTGTCTTGAACGACATAAAGTACATCCCTATATTACAAAGAGTTTATCATAAAGCGTATATAACATGCAATCTAATTAACTATATCATAAAGCGTATACAATATAGATCGCCGCAAGGGAGATCAAATTATTCTATTACCGAGTTCTATTATATTATTATATTGTATTCGTCCGCGAGAGTAGCTCATACTTGTTGGTCGTGAGGTTTGGCTTCTGCAGCGTATCCTGAAGAATGGGCCATTTCTTCCTTGGTTGGTGGAACCCATTTAGATGACTTCCATGGGGCAATACCTTGGGCGTACAATTCATCGACTTCTTCTAAAGTTAATCCCTTAGTTTCGACAACAAAGAAGTAAACGTAGAAGAATGAGAATAACAAACATCCAGTGAAAACAAAACCGTAGTAGAAGTGGATAGCCGAGGTGATGAATGGAGTGAAGAAAGAGATCAAGAAACCCCAAATCCAGTTAGCAGCGGTGGCAACGGACATGGCCTTGGATCTAATTCTCAATGGGTATGTTTCGGAAACGATACAGTAGACACCACCAGCCCAGGTCGATGCGAAGAAGAAAATGTATAAGGTAGTAATGAAAATCATCGCATCACCGGTTGGAACCGAAGTTGGACCATCGTAGCCATCAATGTATAAGTTGGTAACACCCAAAATGGAGTAGATGATAAAACAAACGAACATACAGACGGAACCAGTTAACAAACATAATCTTCTACCGAACCTTTCAATTGTGTAGATACCGAGAAATGTAGATGCAAAGTTAACAACACCTAAGACAATAGATGTTTGGAAAGAGTCAGTCATGCCGACAGCTTGGAAAATAGTAGTACCATAGTAGAAGAAATAGTTGTCACCAGTCAATTGTTGTAAAGACTGTAACATAATACCCATAATGACTCTGCGCAAGATTCTTGGCTTACCAGTAATCAATTCGGTCCAAGAGGCTGAACCAGCTAAACTTTCTCTTTCAATACCTGCTTGAATCAATTGAACTTCGGTGTAAACAGCAGGGTCTTCTGGGGAGACCTTGTTCGATCTACCAATCGATTTCTTAGCTTCTTCAATTTTGTTCTTGACAACTAAGTATCTTGGTGATTCTGGCATACAAACCATACCAATAACCAACATAATAGCCCAAGCAAAACATAAACCTAATGGAATTCTCCATTGTCTGGAGTCTGTGTAGGTTTTGGTACCATATGTAGTGCAGTAACCTAAGAAAATACCTAAGGTAATACATAATTGGAAACAACACACTAAAGTACCTCTTAAGGTTTTAGGTGCTGATTCACCAATGAATAATGGGGATAAGACAGAAACGGTACCAACAGCTAAACCTGCAATAGCTCTACCAACAACGATTTGATACCACTTGTCAGAAGCGGAGATTTGAACAATAATACCAACCACATAAATAATCATGGAAAACATAAGACCAATTCTTCTACCATAAACATCAGCAATCTTAGATAAGAAAATACCACCAACAGCACAACCAACATTGAAAATGGCGACAATCAAACCAGTTCTAACATTAGATAAAAAGTATTCACCGTCTGCATTAAGTTCACCGAATCTTTCCAAGTAATCGCTCATGTTAACGAAACCTGAGATAGTACCAGTATCGAAACCGAAAACGAAACCACCAAATGCAACTAATACACAGAAGAAGGAAATTAATAAATAATCCTTAGCTGATTTTTCTGGTAATGAAGGTAATTGATCGACAATTTCATCTTCATCTAAACCGTCTAACTTGTGTTGTTCCTCTTTCTCTAAACCAGAATGGTTAGAAACTGGAGTTTGTACCCCAGAACTATATTCTTCTTGAGACATGATAATTTGATTTCTAAATTAAATAAATAATTGAATACAAGAAAAGAATTCTGAATTTACAAGAGGAATAGCCCACTTATTTATACTTTCTACCATTAAAGCATAACAGATTCTTAAGACCTCCGGAAAAATATCTGGAAAATTTTTTTATCCCGGCATGCAAGATTAATCCCATACACACTCCAGTTTCTCCGTGTCATGCCCCGGAAAAACTCATGTTGCCCCACTCGCCATAAAAATGCCGGTGCGGAACAATACCATATTAAGGCTGATTAATCAGTTTCGCGAAAAGGCGAATCAACATCCAGTTTCTTCATGCAACACAGAGCATTGTTCTAAACCATAGCTAATATTTGAGGACAGTTTCGTTGTGGGACGAGGATTTATTGGAGAAAAATGGTTTTTAATCGGCTGCATCTATTTAAATGTTCCGAGATGATTTTATAAACTATAGCAGGATCTAGATAAGTATTCAACGAACTAATATTTCGGCATAAAATTAAATTAGGCACATTCCGTGCTTTTCCTAATGCTTGTGCTTGTATAAAGTGGTAAAGTGAGAATCAAGAATGAGCTGATGAATAAATAAATTCAACGGCTTGTTGTCGGAAAATTCTTCCTGCGGGTGTCATTTTAGTGAAGTTCGCGGATTATTTGAAATTTTCCGATGCATAAACTTTTCTGTCACCCGATGGCCGAAATGCAAGTTGACAAGAATCCTAATTGTCGTGACTCTTTGAGTAGTATTAAGAATTAAGAATCGTAATTTTTAAATGGTCTTACGATATATAATATCGTGGCGTACATATTATGACGTTATATTATCTTTCGCCCCCATATATACGTTACTGTTATTTACAATCAAAAGTACATCAACTATTTACCCCTTGTTGTTTACTAGTAATATTAAAATCATGCAACATTCGTATTCAACACATTTCAGTCGAGCGTTATACAAAAATTATTTTTATTTGAACCTGCTGCCACCTCTCGTTTGGCGATTCTCTCACCTCTTTTTAATTCACCCTCCCAATCAAATAACCAATAGGCGACTTTTTTTGCAGCATAGTAACACGTTTGTCGGAACCCCAATTTTGACATTATTTTATTTAATATCTCACTATTAAAGTACCTTGAATTTTCAATACAAGGTAATGGAAGAACTAAAAATAGGCTGCTTAGCGAACCTGATGATTTGGGTGGTTTCAAGAATTGGGTGATTCTTTTCAACATATCACCTCGTTCTCTTGGAGATGGTACAAAATTCAATACTAGGGAGCATGATACCATATTGAATTTTTCCTGGTTTGTTTTAGGCAATGGCCTCAGCATGAAGTCTTGCTCCAAAATCAAATGATTTTGTGAATTTAAATCAATCTTTACCACTTCTTTAAATATGCCACTAGTAGAGATTATATTACTCGGGCTTAAACAACCAATTTCTAGCGCATTTAACTCTTGATTTAGTTTTGTGTTGTATGAATAATCTTCATCTTTCAACCACTCGATCAATTTTTTCAGAGAATCACCACCCCTCTTGTTGTTTTGCCCTTGTGTGGATGCTGACTGGTACGCTTCAATCCCTCCCCGTTTGTCTGATTCCGAATCAATTTCAGCTAACTTTGTGATTAACATTTCTGTATTAAGCTGTTCATCAATTCTAATCAAGTCGTTGTCTGCATATTTGGATGGAACCTTATATGAATTATATTTCGTTTCATATTTAGCAAATAACTGCGGGGAATAACATTTAATTTGTTGCTTATATGTATCTGTACTTAGCTTATCTCCTGGTAGAATTAGTAGTTCATTCAATTTAATGACAATTGAATGTCTATTCTTTTGTAACACATGAAACCTTCTTATCAATCTTCGCGCTTCTTTGGGCTTCAAAGACTTAGGTCTAGTCCTTTCGCCTGATATTGTATGAGGCCTTCTCAAAAGTCCTTGTCTTCTCTGTTTAATACCCATGTTAATTATTACGAATCTATCTTTAAGGTGACTAAATTTTATGATATATTATTTGTATGCAGGAAATTAAAAAAATCAAGATGAGCTACATAATTAGATATTTTTTTGTGTGTGAAGTTATTAAAGAGAACAGTTAGAAACGTACAATGAAAGTTTCAAAAGAGAAGAGTAGGAAAGGAGTCAAGTCAAAGCCAAAGACTTCTAGGAAGCCTTTGTCATTGAAACAAAAATTACAAAGGGAGTCTAAAATTGTAAAGGTTGACAACTTAAACTGGAAAGCAGTCGATATACCTGACAATTTAGATGATTATCAAGGGTTCTACGGATTAGAGGAAATTGACGGAGTTGATGTTAAAGTTACTGGAGGTAATGTCGAGTTTGTCGTTAAGAATAATTCTAAAGTAAAAAACAGTGATAATGAAGAGGATGATGACGTTGTTCATGATGATGATGTCAACGATGACGATGATTTCAACGATGATGTGGATATTGAAGACGATGAGGATGAAATTATTGAAAGCGATAATGAAGACGACTTCAAAGGATTTGATGACGATAATGCGATTAATGAGGATGATAAAATGGATATTGAAAGTACAAATAAGGAAAATAAATCCAAGAAGGAAGTTCAGCCAAAAAATGAGAAAGTTGCAAAGAAGGATGCTTTATTAGAGAGTGCCTTCAAAAACGTTGATTTGACTCTACCAGATGATAACGAAGTTAATTTGCCATATTGGGATGATTTGTCATTAAGTTCATTTACATTAAATGGGTTATCAGCTTTGAAATTTGAAAAGCCAACTGCAATTCAAAAAAGAACAATTCCTCTTGCAATTGAAGGAAAAGATGTTATTGGTAAAGCAATCACTGGTTCAGGTAAGACTCTTGCTTATGGGATACCAATATTAGAACGTCATTTACAGAAAATGTCGAAAGCTAATCAGGGCAAGAAGAAGGTAATAAATCCACCAACTGGAATAATTTTTGCTCCTACTAGAGAATTAGCACATCAAGTCGTAGACCATTTAAATAAAATTGCTAAGTTTACTCCATTATCACAACATGGTATAGTGAGTATTACTGGTGGTCTTTCTATTCAAAAGCAAGAAAGGTTATTGTCTCATGGACCGGGTATAGTCGTGGCAACCCCTGGAAGATTCTTAGAATTACTACAAAAGGATATGGCGTTAGTCCAACGATTATCATGTACTGATATAGTTGTGTTAGATGAAGCTGATAGGTTATTACAAGATGGTCATTTTGATGAATTTGTAAAAATATTGGAGCTATTTGGAAAACACAGACCTAGGGATAATAAAGAACTAGAATGGAAATGGCAGACATTAGTTTTTAGTGCAACTTTTTCAAGAGATTTATTTGGTAAATTAGATAAACACTTGAAAAGTAATAAAAATAAAGAGGAAATGGGTAGCTCTTTGATTGATAATGATGAAATTTTACAATTATTAAACGACAAATTGAAATTCAAAGACTCAAAGCCAACATTGGTTGATGCAAATCCAAAAGAAATGGTTGCAGGACAAATTACAGAGGCGTTAGTTGAATGTGGACCTACTGAAAGAGACTTGTATTTGTATTATTTCCTTTTATTATATCCCGGATCAACATTAGTATTTGCAAATTCTATTGATTCAGTTAAGAGGTTAGCGCCTTTTTTGAATAACTTGAAAGTTCCTACATTTTCAATTCATTCATCAATGATCCAAAAGCAAAGATTAAGAACTTTAGAGAGATTCAAGGAAGCAAGTTCAAAAAATTCTACCGCAGTTTTAATAGCATCAGATGTGGCAGCTAGAGGATTGGATATTCCAAATATTGATCATGTTGCTCATTACCATTTACCAAGGTCCGCCGATGTATATATTCATAGATCAGGTAGAACCGGAAGAGCTGGAAAAGAAGGTGTCTCTATTATGTTTTGTTCACCTCAGGAAGCATCTGGTCCGTTAAGAAAATTAAGGAAATTAGTTGCAAATAATACGAAGAAAAGAACACGCTTAAACGCCCATAACGATGTTAAGTTACTTCCACTTGAAATGGATCTTGTTTCGCAAATTAAACCAAGAGTAACACTTGCTTCAAAGTTAGCTGATGCTGAGAGATCTTCCTCGTCTACTAGAAAAGAAGACAACTGGGTTCATGAAGCGGCAGAAGAATTAGGTATTGACAATTTATCGGACATCGATAATTTTGAAGATGACTTTATCAAAAGACAAAGAAAGAGAAAAGAAAATAAGGCGTTGACTAAGGATGAATCAAGAAGCTTGAGATTGGAATTAAATGATTTACTCTCCAAACAAATAAGAAAAAACTCGAGAAGATCATATTTAACGAGTGGATTGCAAAATTTGGCACATCAGATGGTAACTGGTAATACACATAAAGACGTTTTAGGTCACGCTAGCGTTAATGCATTAGATGATTTAAGAACCAAGAAAGCTATTAAAAAGAAGCAAATCAAAACAAAGAAAGCAAAGGATAAGAAGTAATTATTATATAGATTTATATTCATTTTATTGTAAAAAATTATTTAGAGTTCTAGATAATTTTCAAGTGGCATTAATAAAAATGAAAACTATTACACCAAAAGTTAAGAATACAAAAATGTACGACTTTTAATATACATACTTAAAGAGAATTATTATCTATCTAAAGGAAGTCTTCATCATCATCATCATAATATTCATCCTCGTCAGATTCATCGGCTAATTGTTCGAAATTAACCTTATATCTTAACATAGCACCAATACCACCAAAACCTTGACAAAATTGGGCACCTTCGGACGATCTATCGGTAACAAATTCTAAATTGGCACCAAAATTTTTGTAGTTTTCAGCTAGCCATTCCAAGAACGATTCCTCTTTAACAGTCTCCATTTCAGTTCCTGTCTTCTTATCTAACATGTATGATTTATCTGGTAAGTCTGGGTTTGCATGAGCAATAACTTCGTTACCTTCAATATCCTTCAATGTATAACGAATGATATTCAAATTTTCATAAACGATGATAATTTCACATGCACCTAAGTCCAAAGCTTTCAAGGTATCCTCAATACCGTAACAGAATTTACCAGTATCTTGAGAGATTTCATCGAAGTATTGATTCAATAATTTCTTTTCTTGCACAAACTTGACATTAGCCAAAGTTTCAGCAGATAATTCAATGGCTTGGTTGAAACCATTTTCACCACCATAGGAAACATCGACAATCTTAATAACCTTAGCTTGTAATCTATTATCGAATAAATCAGATTTTGATAATTCGGTTTTGAAATCAGCAGAACCAGCCAAAATTAAACCCTTGACGGTAACCTTATCAGCACTTATGAAGTTTTGAACTGCAACTTCAGCGACTTTTCTCACATAATTGTGTCTTTTTTCTTCTCTTAAACGCGAGAAACGAAGCGCCGATTGACCACCTCTACCATGCTTCTTTGGTAAATCAACGGAAAACTTGTGTAACACTTCTCTGGTATTACCACACACAGCACCAAATAACGCACCGTTACCATCCATAATAATAAAACCAAATCTATCGTCGTTTTCTAATAATTCAGACAATGCTTCAACGTGGAACTTATTGTCACACAAGTACAAGGATGTATTAATTGGCTTGAATGGTTCGAAATCAATATTCAACTTCTTTTCCTTACCTTCATCGGTTAAAACATCACCACAGTAAAGGACTAACCCGTTTCTCGGAACTGAGTTATATAACTTTAATTTTTGTTGTGTTGATGTGATGGCCGATAACACTGACAATCTGTTGACACGAGATTTGATATTGGACGCTGTACCGTATTCTTCTGTCAACATCTTCTGGATAAGCGAAACTTGGCCCTTTGGTGGAATAACTAACGAAATCATCGATGTACCATTACCTCTGGCTTGTTCCAAAGACTTGATCAACTTCTTGACCTTCCAGATCTCAATATTCTTTTCAGCTGCGTCTGCTTCTTGACTTGACATCTTTCAATATGCTCTATAATAACGATGCTAAACTATAAATCAACGAATTAATTGTCTAGAGAAACAACTAAAAGCAATTTGGTAGGGTGTTCTGTATGTCTTTGCGTCAAAAAAAATTTTGATTCTTATCACGTGAGTTTTCAATCTGGTGCCGGAGTAAACGTTTGTGTCAATTGTGTAGTCGGCTCCTACCCTAAAAGAAATCCGGATCGTTAGGAAGATATTGATAGTACAGCTACTAAGCGCTTGATAAAGAGAATATGGCGTCGCAATCAGCAGTGAATGATTTACACGACAACACGGTCGTAGGGGAGGTTCCAAAACCACAGGAACCAAATGTCAATGCAGAAGATTATGATTACGAAAACTCAGACTATGATTCAGACTCGGTATCCGAAATAAGCTCTAACAAGAAGGAAAAGTCAAGAAAACCGGGAGATAATGCATTCAGACAGCAGCGTTTAAAGGCGTACAATCCAGTGTTGACGGTTAAGACGGTGATACCCATATTGATTGGTATCGCTATTATTTTTGCTCCGTTGGGAGCTGCTATGTGGTACGCATCGCATAAGGTTCAGGATATGTCAATCGATTATTCACAATGTGAGAATAAGGCGTCAAAGGATTACTGGCAAGAGATCCCCGAAGAATATCTCAATTTCAATTTCAAAACGAAGGATAGAGACGTGTCGAAGCCTCTGTGGAAGTTAGCTACCGATGATTCAGAGCCATTTGAAGACGAGAGAAAAGTATGCAGATTACAATTTGAAATTCCAAACGATTTAACGCCACCAATCTACTTCTTTTACAGATTGGATAAGTTCCACGCCAATCACCGTCGTTATGCGAAATCATTCAGTGAAGATCAAATCGAAGGAAAAGCGGCTTCAGTGGACACCATTAAGAATATGGTTGGGCAGAATTGTGAGCCGCTCGCGGTTAACGATGACGGTAAGAAGTATTATCCTTGCGGCTTGATTGCTAATAGTTTGTTTAACGATACCTTTACAACAACATTAAGTGGTGTCAACGGAACGTCGCATGAATATGAAATGACAGAAGAGGGAATCGCGTGGGCAAGTGACAAAAATAGATTCAAGAAGACAGAATACGACTATACCGATATTGTTCCTCCTCCAAATTGGTACAAGAAATACCCTAATGGCTACAACAAAACCAACGTCCCCGACATCTCTACGTGGTACCAATTCCAAAACTGGATGCATACGTCTGGGTTGCCTACTTTCAACAAATTAGCCCTTCGTAATGATGATGACACCTTAAAGACAGGCACGTACGAAGTGTCCATCGGTTTACACTTTCCAGTCTTGCCTTACAATGGTAAGAAATTTATCTACATATCCCAAAGATCCGTCATGGGTGGTAAGAATGACTTTTTGGGAATAAGTTGGATGGTCGGTGGTGCTCTCTGCTTTGTGTTGGGTTTAGCATTATTGGTCGTAAATACCATTAAGCCAAGAAGAACTGGTGATGTTAACTTGCTTAGTTGGAATAGAGAGCAATTCGCCAAAGATGAAAGAGAAGAATCATCGCTCGCAAACGCTGAGAAAGATTAAACATTAGTAAGCTCTATATTCGTTTAGTTCAAGTTTTGTATATTAATTCAAGTAGTTTACTAAGGAAGCGAAATAGTCATCGAGTATATCCTGTATATTATAACTCCGTTATTATTACTAATTTTTAGCCGAATCGTGCAGCGGTGTTGCTGTTCCAAATAGTATATATATGGAAGATAATACCAGTGTTTTAATTAATATACTACAATTAATCATAACCAATTAATAAAAGAATGTCTATCCCATCAAACTATAAGCAAATCATTCTAAACAATGCTCCAATTAAAGAAGTTAACTTGAAATACGGTGAAGAATCATCCACTTTCAGAATTGAGCAAGCATCTTTTGATGAGAACTCAGTTAAAGACGGAGAAGTGGTTGTTAAAATCTTATATCTTTCTAACGATCCAACTCAAAGAGGATGGATGCAAAAGGGAGTTGATGCAAAGAGAATGTACGCACCACCAATCTTAGAGAATGACCCAGTCACTGCATTAGGGTTAGGTGAAATTGTGCTTTCTAAATCGAGCAAGCATTCGGTTGGTGATAAGGTTACCGGCCGTTTCTCGTGGCAAGAATACGTGGTTGTAAATGAACAAAGTATTTTCACAACCATTGATGAATCGGCAGGTTTGCCTTTGACTTCGTATTTGTCTTCTGTTGGTATGACTGGTTTGACTGCATATTTCGGGGTCACCAAGGTCGGTGAATTGAAGAAAGGGCAAACCATTGTTATTTCGGCTGCTTCCGGTGCTACTGGATCTATGTGTGTTCAAATTGCCAAACATATTGTAGGAGCTTCCAAGGTTATTGGTATTTCTGGATCCGCTGAAAAGTGTAAGTGGGTTGAATCTCTCGGTGCTGATGCATGTGTTAATTATAATGATGCAGACTACCAGAAACAATTATCCGATATCATTGGTGATGAATTCGTCGATGTTTATTATGATAATGTTGGTGGTGAAATTTTGAGTTTCATGCTTTCCAAAGTCAAGCCTTTCGGTCATGTTGTTGCATGTGGTTCTATTGCCGGTTACAATGACAGAGAAAAGGGTAATGTCACTAGCTGGTTTGAAATTATTACAAATCGTCTTACTGTTCGTGGTTTCATCATTCTTGATTTTGTCAAAGATTATGCCCAAGGTGTTGGTGCAATTGTTGGTGCAATTAAGGAAGGTAAAATAAAAATTACCGAAGGTACATCTGTAGTTGATTTAACTAACGAGAAGGACGTTTTGGCCAAAGTTCCAGAAACATGGAGCTTATTATTTGGTAGCAATAAGCCAAACGGTAAGTTAATCACAAAGATTGCTTAAGTTTAAATAGTCTATAAAAGTTTACTCTAGAATTAGATAATTTTATAACTTTCGAATACAATAATTTATTTCAATAAATCAATACGCAAGATGTCTTGTATTACAATTACAAAGAATTAAGCACCTTCTAGGGCTGAAGCTAATTTGCGCATTGTGATGCATTTTGACATGCTGCAAAATGCCATTAAACTCAAAATTGGTGCTCTCGGCTTGTTTCCTTAGAATGATCAATGTAAGTACTAGCTTTGAAATATTAAGAAGGTTCGATCTAATTTTTATTAGCATAAGATACAATATCGCCACGGGTATCACGGAACCATAGAGTTGTTCACCTCAAGAAATATGTCAGCACATATATGTCTTGTATACTAGTAACTCCGAAACCCTTACCAATTTTCGGCCGGATCCTGCAGATTTCTTGCTGCTATATTAATAGCTACAGATTGATTATCTTTCTACTCCCTTTCTTGATTAATTACTTGTAGGAATATAATGAATATCCCATCAAGATACAAGAAAATCGTCTTAAATGATGCACCAAGTAAAGAAGTTAATTTGAAATACGGTGAAGACTCATCCACGTTCAGAATTGAAGAAACAACTTTAGATGAGAACTCAGTTAAAGATGGAGAGATGATTATTAAAATGTTGTACTTTTCTAACGATCCAGCCCAAAAAGGATGGATGCAGAAAGGACTTGATTCAGAAAGAATGTATTTACGACTTCTAGAAAATGACCCAATTATTACGTTAGGTTTAGGTGAAGTTGTGTTTTCTAAATCGAGCAAATTTTCGGTTGGTGATAAAGTGACGGGTCATTTTACATGGGAGGAGTATATAGTCGTCAATGAAGAAATCATGAGAACAATTGACGAGTCATTAGGTTTACCTTTAACTTCGTACTTGTCTTCTGTTGGTATGACTGGTTTAACTGCATATTTCGGGCTCACCAAGGTCGGTGAATTGAAGAAAGAACAAGCAATTGTTATTTCGGCTGCTTCTGGTGCTACTGGATCCATGTGCGTTCAAATTGCCAAACATATAGTAGGGGCGTCTAAGGTTATTGGTATTTCCAGCTCTCCAGAAAAATGTAAGTGGGTTGAATCTCTCGGTGCTGACGTATGTGTTAATTATAATGACGCAGACTACCAGAAACGATTACTACGTTGATTTTTATTATGATAATGTTGGTGGTGAAATTTTGAGTTTTATGCTCTCCAAGGTCAAACAATTCGGCCATATTGTTGCCTGTGGTGCTATTTCTGGCTATAATGATGCAGAAAAGGGTAAAGTCACTGGTTGGGCTGATATTACCAGGAATCGTCTTACCATTCGTGGCTTTGTCATAATTGATTTTATCAAAGATTTTGCGGAAGGTATCAATGCAATTGTCAGTGCAATCAAAGAAGGCAAAATTAACATTACCGAAGACGTATCTGTGATTGACTTAAGTAAAGAAATCGACGTTTTGTCAAAGGTTCCCGAGACATGGGGTCTATTATTTAGTAATAAGAAGATAAATGGTAAATTGGTTACAAAGATTGCCTAGGTTTGGATGCGCTACTTTTTTAATCGAAGTTTTATGAATATAATGTATCTCGATAAACTATATATATACACATATATATACATATAATACGATGAAGTTTTTTTGCCGTAAAGTTATCACGTAAGGGTTTTGTATTTTAAAGTCTTCATTATGGCAAATTATGAAAAATAGTGCGTGTATCATCGAAAGGTAAACAAATGTACTTTATTATTTGTGGTTCATTTTGTATCTCTTTACTATAAAGCATTAAGTTCACTGGCAAAGATTTAAGAAAATCATAATAACTTGTTCATTATATCCGAAGATAACATCGAACGAACCTAGAAGTGTTCTCAAAAACATTAGAATAAATAGGAATAGAATTGTACTCAAATTTAAATACATCGATTTAGTGGTTCGTCTGTTGCATAAAGACATGGTATTGAGATTATGTTAAACATCAAGTATACGCCAGAAGAATCACCTAGTCCAAGCAGGTGGGGCAGTTCTCGTGGAGAAAATTATGTACTGGATAAGAGTTCTTCAGGAAGCAACAAACGCCCATCAAAAAATATATCCAAACGAGATGCATTAGAAAAGTATCAAGAGCATGATGATGGTTCGAGTTACATCAATGATTTCGACATTGAGGGAAGCGAAGATTTGAATCTTTCTTACTCCAAGTTTTCTCGTATATCGGGAATATCGTTACTAAGTGGTGATGATTCCAATAGACTGAACTCTATCTCAGGTTCGCCTTTCGTTAAGAATATTCAAACAAGGTTGCAGGACATCAAGTTTGAAGAAGAACGGAAATTGAATAGTCGAGATAGTGGTCGGCCAAGTACCAGACTTAACAGACCTAAAAGCTCACAGGGTAGAGACAAGCTTATGTATCTGATAGACGAAGGGACTCTGAAAAATGCAAATGATGAAAACGAATCACCATTTCTAGAGCATGCTCCTATATTGAAAACACCGATAGAGAAGATTGGTTCCACTTTTGAAGATAATTTCGACTTAAGGCCAAAGAACTATGACCACCTTCAAAATCCCAAAATTAGAGGATCTTCTGAACAACCAGAAAACTATGCAGCGAACGGCTCGAGGATTCCTATCAGCTTAACTCCAGATAAAAGGAGGCAGCAACGGATGTCCTCAGTAAAGGTATCTTTGACTCCGGCTCAGCGGTTCGAGAAGAGACCAGGCACCAGACTGACAAATGCTTTGGAGAATTTTCAATTCTCCTCTTTGGTTGGTAGAGGTGCCTCGGCTAACGTATTCAAAGGTATTAATTTGAAAACGAACCAGGTAGTAGCCATAAAACAAATTATTCTAGAAAAGAACCAAAATGTAATGGAATTAATGGGAGAAATTGACTTATTGAAAATATTAAAGCATCCCAATATTGTCAAGTATCATGGGTTTGTAAAAACTTCAACATCTCTAAATGTTTTTCTTGAGTTTTGTTCCAAAGGATCTTTACGACAATTATACCAACTTACAAATCATGGTTTACCGGAAGGTCAAATAATCGGTTTTGTAAGACAAATTTTGCAGGGTTTACACTATTTACACGAGCAGGGGGTAGTTCATAGAGATGTAAAGGCTGCAAATGTCTTAATTACAGAAGATGGGTTTATAAAGTTAGCAGACTTTGGAGTTGCTACAAAGGTATCCTCTCAGCATGAAACGGTGGTTGGTACACCTAATTGGATGGCTCCTGAAACAGTTTTGGGCGGTGAGGGTCTTTGTACTGCTTCCGATATTTGGTCTCTTGGTGCAACAATTATAGAATTATTCACGACTAATCCTCCTTATCATGACTTCAATCCCATGGCCACCCTTCATGCTATAGGCACAGATGATCATCCTCCTCTACCAAAGAATATTTCACCTTTGGCTAAAGATTTCTTGTTAGAATGCTTTCAAAAGCAACCTAATCTTAGAATCAGTGCCAAGTCTCTCTTGAGGCACAAATGGGTAACTAAATCAACCAAAGAAAAACATGTCTTGGAGGTATCATCTCAACTGAATCCTGACAAACATATCCCTAACCCTGTATCTATTCATAATTATTCTGAATCTAATGAAGAAAACTGGGAGAATGATTTTATTGATATAAACCTAGCTCGAATGAAAGCTTCATCGGCAGATTCACTGCATTCTCCATCTAAACACAATGAAAACCGTTCAAAAGTGTCAAAAAGTGAATTATTAAACAAATTTTTAGATAAGAATGAAGACTTTGGGTTTGAACTGGAAACACCTACTATGATTTCAAAGTTTGACAAAACCGATAATTTGCAAGTGAACTTGGAGCCTACTAATCTCGAAGAATTTCCGCGTGAAGAAGAAGAAGATCCATTTCTAGAGATTGATATTGAAGATTTCAATACCAATGAGTTAGAGGTTCAAAGTAAAATGGAATTCTTAACAACAAAGTTTTCAAATAGAGTTGACCTTTGTCATTCTGGTAATGATGAAGTTATTTCCTCATTGATCAAAATAACTGGAAGAATGTTACATTTGATCAAGAAATATAATATACTGCATGACGTTTTAATTAGAGACCATGGGATTTTATCCTTGTTAGAATTACTAGAAAATGCTCCAGAACTCCCAAAGCATCAGAAATTATGGTTGCATACATTATCTATTTTGAATAATATTTTCGAAAATAATACTTCCCAATTTGAAAATTTCTGTTTATTGGGCGGTATACCCGTAGTTACTCATTTTAGGAGCTCATCTTATGATCCACAAGTGAGGTTGCAAGTTGTTAAATTTATTAAGTTTTTAAATAACTCCGAAAAGGCGTTATCAATGTTTGTTTCCTGTGGTGGTCTTCGTGTTTTATCTAAGTTTGTTGAAGAGGATTTTGATGCAACTCCTGAATTTCCTTTAACTTCAATTGATTGTATTTATAATATCTTGTCAAAAGACTTGACAAGATCAAAATCTAACCTATGTCGTATCTTATCAAAATATGGAGTTATATTCTGGTTTGTTGTTCTACTTAATAGGCTTACAAAGTCTCATTCAAAATCAGCCCCAGATGGAATATCACAGGACCAAATTTATTCAACTATAAACAAAATAATTGAAATTATTAAATACTTCGGTCAATCTGAAACTAGGGTACGGGTTAATATTTCAAACAGTGACCTATTCAAACTTTTAATAAAGGTTTATCCAAATCTACAATACCAGCATCAATTAGTAATATTGAAGTTCTTTAAATCCATTTCCCAGATTTCAGACATACTAAAGGCCTTGTATTCTGCGGATATTTTGGAATTCCTTGTGAGAATAATGGAATTCTACACACCTTCAACAGAACATTACAAAGAGGTCATAAACGTCGTATGTCCTACATTGTATAACTGTTGTTATTTAAATCATGCAAGAGAAGTTGATCTTGTGAGACTAGGAGCAGTGCCACATCTAAAGGCCCTCTCCAAAATCAACCTTCCGTTCCGTCAATTCGTTTTGCCGATATTATGTGAATTAGTTCATTGCGATGATTATGTGAGACAAATATTATTTAAACAAGATATTTTAACTGTGTATTTCAATTTGCTTATAGATCCATATTGGCAGTCAAATGCATTAGATTCAATTCTCAGTTGGTCTCAACAAACTTCGGATCAAGTGAAGTTAGATACACCTAAGGCTATGAATTGTTTTGTTGGGGGATTTATGCTACCTAAGGTATCAAATTTGGAATCCACCTTAGACAGTTACTTGAAATTGATAACAGTCGATAAGGCAGTATGCTACTTAATGGTCAAAGAGTCAATAATCAATAACATCTTATTCAAATTGAACGTTCATAATAAAAATCCGGTAGTACAATTGAATCTACTTCGTATTTTAAAGAACCTTGTCAATACAGGGAAGAAAACAAGGGTGCTTGACAACTTAGACATTTCCCAAAATATAATTACTACCTTAAATACATTGAAGTCCCGTAAAACATCAGTTTTAGTGGATGAATTAGCAATGGAAATAGTTTCTCTTGTTATTTAGTTAATGTATATAATAGATAATAGGTAAAAGTCGTGCCAAATTTGCACCTCGGTAAAATCTTTCTGTGGGGTGGCTAAATACTAAAGATATAGAACAATCTTTTGTCTTAGAAATACACTAATATAAACTGCTTTTCTCTAATGATTCCAATTTCTTATCCGTCGCCTAGGGTGTCGCAACTAGATGCCAATATATTAGATTCAGAATTAATATCTCTTTTGAAGGAGCAATTAACATCTATTTTTCAATTGCATAGTACAAGTTGGTGGACATATGATCAGCATCCAGAATTATGGAGTTTATTATTAAACTTGATGGTATTCAGATTAACAGTTTGGAAATCTGGCTCATCGTATGGGGCATTATTACAGAATTTAAAATTAACTGATTTCAAAAAGGGTAAATTAATAGGCTATTCCAAGAGAACATTATTATGTGCTGTATTGGTTGGCGATTACTTCTACAGCAAGTTACAGTCATATCTATATTCCATTGACGAATCGGAGGCTTCAAGAAATGCATCGAAGTTCCAGTTATTAAATTCCATCAAATCATTTTTCATTACCCACAAAACCAAGATTCTTTCAAGCTTGAACGATTGTTTTAAATTATTGAATTTAGTAAATTTTACGTTATTTCTCGTCAATGGTAGATATCCATCTATATCTCATAGGCTTTTTGGAATTTCCTTGACTCCAATAGTGACGGATTTATTGAAGTTCAATGGCAACAAAGTGAACTTTGAATTTCAAAATCGTCAATTGGTCTGGAACGTTATGACAGAATTTTTGGTATTCATTTTACCACTAATGCAGCTAGGAAAGTTGAAAAGAATGACAAAAAAAATATTATTACCTTACAAAAAGGGCCAAAGACGTGAAACTGGAGATACTCCAATATTCACTCCATATACCAATTTGCCTGTTTCTCAATGTGCTATCTGTCACAATAATAATGACATCGCTGCCACATCGTCAAATAGAAATTCGTCCATTAGCTCATCTTGCATGGTTACCAACCCATACGTTACTAACTGCGGCCACATTTATTGCTACATTTGTATAGCGACTAAATTCAATTCACTTGATAATACTGATTCTGATTCTGAAGGATGTCTTCGTTGTGGCATGAAATTACAGTGGTTCAAAGAACATGGCGACAATGAAGGAGAAATAGATGAAGATGCGATAATAGTGTCGTATGAAGATAGAGAAGAAAATGATTCTGATGAGGGCGACGAAACTGCTGAGCAGGAAACCGTTGAAAAAAATAGCATTGGCATTGAACATGAAAAGGACGATCAGATCGATGAAAAAGGTGAACTCAGTCATTCAAGGATTGAATCTGATGAAGTAGAGAACATAAATGAAAACAGCGATTACAGTGAGGGCGAAGATTTTGATGAAGATGAGGATCTTGAACAAGATGCATATGATGATGATTTTGACAGTGATTTTGATGAAGGATTAGATCTCTAATAATATTATGTTACATGGTTATATATAAATATTTATAATTAATTACCTTTTAATTCTTGTATTGAGAAAATGTCAACTCTAAATATTAAGTGAAATGTCTATTCATAAAGAAAATGAAATGGAGAATGCTTATTTAATAAGTTTCAATAACAACTGGGCACCTTTATTGTCAGCATCATTGGATAAATCCTTTTTGATTTTCTTTAATGCTTTTCCTAATTCTTTCGTTTTGTCATTTTCATTCAGCAATTGTAAAACTTCAAAACATGCAACAATAACAAAAGCACCTTGTCCACTAGTCCAGTCTTTTAATTTATCGGAAGATAATACTTCATCAACAACTTTTACTGCGAATTCCACACCAACTCCTGGAATATTACTATTTGATGTTGAAATAAGCTTCTTGATATCATTATCCCACTTGAATTCGTTACCTTGAATTAATGCCTTTAATGATCTGGAAATAAATGGTACTTTGTTAATTAAATGGAAGTCTTCTAATACATCACCCTTAACTGATATTTCAAAAATTTCATTGACTAATTCAGGTCTCAATGTATCATTAACTTCAGCAACATCAGTTGATGTTAATATTAACTCTGTTATGAACTGTGCTGCTATATTGACTGATAAAAGCTTATCAAAGCCCTTATCAGGGTTTTCGGACTTAGTTGTAGATAAAATAGATTGATACATTAATGGTAATGCCTTCGATGATAATTCTGCTCGTCTTTGTTCTTGTGGTTTTTTAGACGTCTTTTTATAGGCCAATTCTTCATATTTATGTAAATCCTTCTTTATTAATGGTGAAAAATATCTACCATCTAATCCTTTCAATAAATATAATAATGGTCTACGAGAAAATTTGTCCTTTATTAATTCTGGGACTAAATCATCAGTAAGTAATTCTGTACTGAATGACTTATGTAATAAGACAGTATCATCAACAGTCATGAATAAAGTGATTAAAACAATATTACCATTTTCATTCTTAATTAATTCATTAGCGTGGTTCTTTAATGTTCTTATAATCAATTTACGTTCTTTAGCATTTGCCATGGCGATTAACGAACATGCAACTTCACTACCTTCAGGGGTGTGAACTAACTCTGCAAATTGCTCTGTCAATAATTCAATGAACTCTCTAATCTGTTTATCATTCTTTTCAATATCGTCCTTTAAAATAGTGGTGTATTCTCTCATAGCTGCGTGTAAAATTTGGAAACCGGTGGATCCTTTTTCCACTGTAGCAGTGATAGTTCCAACCAAGTTAGTCATGATTAACTGCTTCTTTTCAGACAGTTCATGGACAATTTCTAAAACAGTCTTGTCTTTACCTGAGTCTCTGAAAACAGCGTATTCCGCACCCCAAAATTCTCTAATCATTTGTTGTCTTTGTTCACTGGTTGAATATAATACATATAAATCTTCAACGACGTAAGCACCTTCTCTGTGTCTCATCAACTTACGCAATTTCCCGTGAAGTTCATTGATGATAAGATTACGGGACTCCTTTGAACCATAATGTAATAATTTAACCAACAAATATTTACCATACGATGATGTGGCTAACTGATAATAGTTACCTTTCAAAGACTTAACAATAAGATCCCTTCTTTCTTTTGACGAATATTTAATCAATGTCTGGACGACACGAGAGGCATCGTGCTTCAAAACCAAATCGTATATGACATCTTTGGACAACTCCCAAATTTCATTACATAATTTGTCTCTGACTTCCTTTGGAGGTGTTGGCTTATTAACTCTTAATTTTTCCCACAAACTCTTGATTCTTTGGACCTCGATCCCTGACTTTCTTTGCAACTTACGCTCAGACAACAACTTACGTTGTTCGGCATGTTGTTCCTTAGATGACTTCTTATTTGGATCTACTTCCTTCGCATCGCTTGCATCCTCATCCATATCATCAGATTCTTCGTCAGCATCTTTATCTTCTTCCACGTCATCAAGCTGGTCAAGTTCATCTTCCTCGTCCTTTCCATCTACTGGAATATCATCCAAATCGTCTTCTGACGAGTCTGATAACTCTTCACCACTAGATTCTTCCGATGCACTTTCTGGTTCCGATTCACTCTCTGGTGATGGCAACTTTTCTGCTACCTTTTGTTTCTTAACACTACTCCCATTATCCTTAGCAATCGTATGCTTGTTGCTTCTCTTAACAGCTCCCATTGCTCTAAATCTTCTTTATCTGCTAAAAGTAAACTACTCATCTAAGACTGAAAAAAAAATTAATTTTAAGAAGAGGTCTGCGGCTCTTAACTATGGAGCTATTTTGTGTTACATTAGATTTTGTGTCCCTAATTATGTCCTATAGTTTCTCCAGCTCTACTGACCAATGGAACAAAATGAAGTAATTGCTCTATTCTAGCGTATTAGTGACTTAAATATAGTATAATACCTTCTAATCCATTTAAAATGTTACGTACTTTGCCAATTCGTGTTTTAAACGCATCGAAGCCAACAGTAGGCTTCTCTGTCACCAGAAGCTCGGCTTTTGGCGTTCCACAATTATACAATAAGAGATCCTACTCTTCCGAAGTTCCAAAGGGTAATGTTCAAGAGTTAGAAGACTTGAAGCAGTTCCAGCAATTTGTATCTAATGGAGAAAAAGTTTCCGTAATTGATTTTTACGCTACTTGGTGTGGACCATGTAAGGCATTGGAGCCTATCTTTGCTATGTTATCAGAAAGAGTCCCAGAGGTGCAATTCGGTAGAGTAGATGTTGATAAAGCTCAGGATACTGCCATGGAATATGGGATTACTGCCATGCCAACATGTAAATTTTTCAAAGATGGTGAACAACTCGATACCATTATTGGAGCTAACCCACCAAAATTGGTGTCGTTAATCAAGGAACACTCAGGAGTCGACATCTCTGGTAGGTAGATCTATGATACGTTTAAATAGTTGTCTCTAAATATGATTTATGTTATTATCGATAGTGTAGAGTTTGTATGGGTGCGCGCGCTTCGTAACCATAAGACCGCTTCGAGTTGAGTGGCGAGTTGATAGAAGAATATGTGATTTGAACATTTACTTCTGATTATAGAATACTTGTTACTATAGAGTAATTGTCTCATATAAGGAATCGAATTACATATAATTGATCAATCATGGTATGTAGATGATTTTAGCGAGTGAAAATAGTGAAGAAAATTGTATACTAACAATCAACTTCTAGGGTCAAACGCCATCGGGAATGCCAGGAGGCGATTTCAATAAGAAGAAAGATGATAAGAAGAAGGAAAAGCCAAAGTACGAGCCACCAGTGGAGTCTAAGTTTGGAAAAAAGAGAAGAAAGGGGCCAGATACGGCAGTGAAATTGCCAAGTGTGTTTCCTAGTACTAGATGTAAATTGAAATTATTGAAATTGGAAAGAATCAAGGATCATTTATTGTTGGAAGAAGAATTTGTGACTAACCAAGAAGCTTTCCAACCTACAGAAGCAAAGCAGGCTGAAGAAAGAGAAAAAGTCGATGAATTAAGAGGATACCCAATGTCGATTGGTACTTTGGAAGAAATTATCGATGATGACCATGCAATCGTTTCGAGTACTGCGGGTTCTGAATACTACGTGTCTATAATGTCTTTTGTTGACAAAGGTTTATTGGAGCCAAGTTGTTCAGTGTTATTGCATCATAAAACGGTATCGATTGTAGGTGTATTGCAGGACGATGCTGACCCAATGGTGTCAGTGATGAAATTAGATAAATCTCCAACCGAATCATACGCCGATATTGGTGGATTAGAGTCACAAATTCAAGAAATTAAAGAAGCAGTCGAGTTACCATTAACTCATCCAGAATTATACGAAGAAATGGGTATCAAGCCACCAAAGGGTGTGATATTGTATGGTGCACCAGGTACTGGTAAGACATTATTAGCTAAAGCGGTAGCAAACCAAACAAGTGCCACATTCTTAAGAATAGTTGGGTCCGAGTTAATTCAAAAGTACTTAGGTGATGGTCCAAGATTGTGTAGGCAAATTTTCCAGATAGCCGGAGAGCTTGCTCCTTCCATTGTCTTTATTGATGAAATAGATGCTATTGGTAGTAAAAGATATGAATCTTCATCAGGTGGTGAAAGAGAAGTCCAAAGAACTATGTTGGAATTGTTAAATCAATTAGATGGTTTCGATGATAGAGGTGATATTAAGGTTATCATGGCAACGAATAAAATTGAATCATTAGATCCTGCATTAATTAGACCTGGTAGAATCGATCGTAAGATCTTGTTTGAAAGCCCTGATTCAAATACTAAAAAGAGAATTCTTCATATTCATACATCCAAAATGAGTTTAGCAGATGACGTAAAACTTGATGAATTAGTAACTTCTAAAGATGAATTATCTGGAGCTGATATCAAAGCTATGTGTACAGAGGCTGGTTTATTAGCGTTAAGAGAAAGAAGAATGCAAGTTAAAGCCGAGGATTTCAAGGCTGCTAAAGAAAGAGTTCTTAAAAATAAGGTAGAAGAAAATCTTGAAGGTTTATACTTGTAAAATATATACATTATATATATTTAATTCACATTATTATTGCTATTCATGCGCAGACATATATGTTCCTAATTTAAGACTATTTACTATTTCTAACGATTAATAAACATTAATCATTTCTGTTATTCAATATACGTAAAACGAATAAGAATAAATTCAAGATGTCCAAATATAAGGAAAGAGTTGCTGGAACTTCATCATCCAAGTGAACAGTCTTCATTATCCTTTGGGTGTCTATAATGATATAGATACTGAATATTATAGCCCCCAATCCCGAATATAACATTTCCATGCCAGATGAGTGGTTTGGGAAAACCATAAATATGAAGCCCCAACCAATTAACACCCACGTTGCCATCATAACAGTTCCCTGCCAACTAATAAAGTCATACTTAGTCTGGAACGCAAATAATGTTAATCCAATGAATATAACAAATGTTATCAACAAAGCCTGTACAACTACCTCAGATTCAATTGCTGAACAAGCAACACCAACCCCATAAGCTTCACACAAAGTGAATCCACCCAATAATAATAAATTAGTTGGGTAAGACCTAGCTTTAATGTGAGTGGCAATCATGAACCCAATTGAACCAATAAGCGAGACAAAGAAAAGCCACATATTGTTAAAACACCATGCTTGAATAGAGCTATTTGAGCGGATGATAAGTCCGACCAACACTGTACCAAATATTTGAATTGATAACAATGTATAAACCTTTCTAATAAATAATTGACGGATTGGCAATTCACAGGATGCAACATCTACGGAGTACTTGAAGTCATCGGGAATGTTATCACCCTCAACTCTTGGGCTTTGCTCCTGTTCATAAGTTGGTGGCTCACTAGTAGGTAACGTAGTATAATGATTCATGGCTATGTAGTTCTAATATTATCACGATAAAATGGCCCGAGATGATGCTATTTAAAAGGGATTCTGCGCTTTTATATGGAAATGCGCGGTTGTGAGCCCGTTTATAGTCATCTTGCCAATCTAGCTATCTGTTCCCATGGAATTCCTATTCCAATACCATTGACCAGAGTTTACAGGTAATCATTTTGTACCAAGGATACGTGTGATGCATTGGTCGAGCATATATTTGGAATATCAAAAATTCGTTGTAGTTCCGTCTGCAATCGTTTGATACGTGCGCTGCAACAGTTTGCACCCGTTCTGAGAACACCCTGACTTGATAAGACTATTCCTGATACTGAATCCTGAATCCAACAAGTAATTTTATTGTTTATTTAAAGCTTCCCGGTGTAGTAACTTTATTACAAGATATTGTACGTTTCTGAAAACTAGTTTCTCCTCAATTTATGAATTATTTGCAAAAATTATTTAAATGAGAAAACTTGCGAGTAGTGGTAATTTAGATATACAACAATTAGCTTCAGTAACTAATCATCCCTGTCAAGCACATTAGTTCAATTTGCCTAAAGACTATCAGTATAAGCTACACCTATTCATTATAGCAAATATTATCTATTATTCACAAGCATATATACCTATTTACAATCTAATCCTAATCCGTCCCTATTTCGATTCTTCCGACTCAGAAGGTACCGGTGGCGGGCCTGTGGCCGTGGATATTTTCATCCTCAACAACATAGTTTCCTTAAAGGTAACTCTCTTTCGGCACAAAGGACATAAACCAACTCCCTTTTTGCCTTTGGTCTGTCCCCTCGCAGTGGAACTAGCAATACTTTGCTGAATGCATTCTAAACAAAAGACATGTCCACACGAGGTTGCCGTTGCATTAGTGACTTCATCAAAACAAATTGGGCACTGAATATTGCTTAGTTTTTTGGTGGTATGTGGAGGCTGTACTGGATTATCAATCAAGTCCTGTGTCTCCTTTTTAAAAGCAATAATCTCCACATCATCCTCGTCCTCGGACGATAGGTTTATAATATTCTCTAATTTAGCAGAAGACATCAGTAACTACTCATTAAATACAAGACAATACGTCTAGTTCATGAAATTTCAACACGGTTTTTCTGTGAAATTATTGCCAATATATGGTTCTGAAAGCAATTTTCAGATTCACTCTCCAATAACACTACAATGTACAAATTAACCAGACCCGTTTCACGATTCGCTCTATATCCAAATAATTCTATGCGTATTCAATTGCATCGTTCTATGTAAGCAGATAAAATCGAGTGCGATTTATGGTCACAATTTTTTGATTTTACACACGAAGTTGTATGGCTGGACTTTACTATAGGGAATAAAGTGATCTTTATAATTAGAAGCATAACGATAATACAATAACTTCTACTTATTAGTAAAACCAGAAGCTATTAAAGTAATCCTTTGATATCCAATATTGATTGTGTGTTTTAATATAAGTACAATATGGTTACTGATCATACAAATCCCTTAGCGGTGGTGCTTCCTTATACGTTCAATTCGCAGAGTGATTATCCCACAGAAGTATTGGCGAATAGGTTTCAAGCTTGGAGGTCGATTATCAAGGATTTGGTTAATTATCTTAAGGAGTATGCCAGTGTTCAGGAGGAGATTGTTAGACAACAAATGAGGCTTCAACAAGCGGTTGGAATATCACCAGGGACGAGCACAACAGTGTCGAATACGGGGCATGGACACGGATCGCATAATAACCATAAGGATGACATAAATGCCATCAATAAGTTCTTTTTACCTATTGGGAATGGATCAATACAGGATTTGCCGACGATATTGACGAAATTTCATCAACAAAATGTCACGCATTCGTCGAAAACGTTGAAGGACATAACTTCTGTCATTATTCCGAAGTTGGAGGAATTGAGAAAAGATCTTCTTATTAAGATCAAGGAAATTAAAAATTTACAAAATGATTTCAAAAATAACTTAGGAAAAGAGATTAATGAAACCAAACAAGCTTTGAATCAGTATACTCAGGCAATTGAAACATCCAATAAGCTAGATCATGGCGGATTGTCGCAGGACGGAGACCATAGCAAGAACGATCCGTATATCATGAAGATAAAATTGGATAGACAATTAAAAAAACAAATCTCAGAAGAAACGTATTTGCATGATGCATATTCCAATTTACAAACGGCAGGGGCCAAGTTAGAATCTATTATTGTATTAGAAATCCAAAACTACTTATCAATGTTTCTAAATTTACTAAACACTGAGCATTCAACGATTCCAGAGTTCTTGTTACCAAATTTGAACAACGGCTTTTTATCAAAGGAAGCAGAATTCGAATGGAACTCGTTTATTTCAAGAAATTTACCTACACCTTCAATTTCTATTAGTGCATTAGGAAACAACTCGTCGAATGTTAAAAATGGCACCTTTGTTGATCTTTCGTTCCCATATAGAAAGTTATCTGAACTCGTAATACCTGAGGGAAATTCTCCATTGAATGTCGCAGTGAGGGAAGGTCCATTAGAAAGACGTTCTAAGTTCTTGAAGTCCTACTCAAGTGGCTGGTATGTTTTAACATGTAATTATATTCACGAATTTAAAACGTCAGATCGTAAGAAGGATATGCAACCAGTTATGTCATTACTGTTAGATGCGTGCCAAGTGAGTGAGCATTCCAAAAATGATGGTAAACCAGGTGGAGTCTATAAATTTGTATTGCACTCTAAGCTGCTGAATGGCATTATTCACAGAGGCCACAATTGGGTTTTCAGAACAGATACTTATCAAAAAATGATTGACTGGTACACTGATATTAAGTCCTTAACGAATGCTAGTACCTCTTCCGCGAGAGCAAGAATAGTTAGCAAAAAGTTCAAGTTGGAAGAAAATCAACATAAGAGAATTTCAAGAACTTCAAGTATTCTATCAAATGGAACTAATGCAAAATCATTGAGGACTGTCACCACTAACAACTCATCGAAAGCAGCAGGAGCTTCAATACGTTCAAAGCATAAGTCCCCTACAATGTCGCATAATAGATTGTCATCAACATTTTCGAGGACTAATAATCAATCTCCTAGACTAACAAATATGGTCAATAGTGATGGTACGATGATAGCCCCAATTGATGTTAATCTGGACGTGAAAGCGTCTTCAAACTCCCAATCAAATGCTCAGGTTTCATCTCCACAGCAGCCAATAGCGCAACCTAATTATCAAGGTGGCTATTATTATACCAACAATGGACAACCACTGCAATTGTACGATCCCGTTCAACAACAGTACTATACTATAAGTCCAACTGTTCAAGGTCAACCTCAACCCCAGTATTTTCCCGTGTCACCACAGCAGAATTCGCAACAGCAATTCTTCATCCATGCACCAACAGGAGGGGCCCAAAGTCCACTGAACCAACCACAACCACAAGGAAAAGCACCATATTTTCCGGTAAACACAGCAAATTATGGTGTATATCCACAGCAAGGCCACAATGATAGAGCAACTCCCAACAATTTGCCATATCCAACACAATTGCAACCTCCGCCAACAATAGAATCCAATCAGCATACTGATGATCTGGAGTTAGAGTTTTTAAAATCGGATTCAACATTGCATCCTGAAATGAACAATAAAGATGCAAGCAATCCTTCGCATATGAATGGCGAAGCAGACTTAGCTGTTCTGGGCGCTAATGATCAAGATGATAAAGAAAGTAATGTAACCAATGACAAGGGAAATGATAGTGAACTTAATATTCAGAATAGTACTAATGAAACTAGTGCCAATGAAGTAGAAACATTGCAAAGCAATGGCAAGAACAATACATTGGATGAAGATTTGACAAAAGTCATCAGCGAAGACAATATTATTCCTCTTGTTCCTGAAAATTAGATTATATACTTTAGTCTGAGTCTCTAAATTATATGGTCAAGATTGTACTATAGATAATCAAGCATAAATATAGTGTTAAGTAGCTTAAGTAGTTCGCAATAAAAGTTACAGTAGAAATCAAAGGAAACCTAATCAAGTATTATAACATAATTATTTAAAAGATGATACATAATGAATATATTTAAAAGAAAACCTTCTAAACAACAACACCAGAGTTGGAAGCAATACGTGGCCATAAATCAGCACATTCCTTAGCGACTGGACCAGTGATGGCAGAACCCTTCATTTCACCCTTTGGATTGACAATAACACCAGCATTATCTTCGAAGTATAAGTAGACACCATCCTTTCTTCTCCATGGTCTAGCTTGTCTAACAACAATTGCTGGCATGATTTTCTTTCTTAATTCTGGCTTACCCTTTTTAACGGTAGCCATAACCATATCACCGGCTGAGGCAGCAGGTAATCTATTTAATCTAGCACCGAATCCCTTAACAGAGACGATGTATAAGTTTCTTGCACCTGAGTTATCACAACAGTTTACAACGGCACCAACTGGTAAACCTAACTAGAATCTTTGTTAGTATTATGTTCATCTATGAAAAAAAAAGATCGCTACTTCGAGATGAGTTTCTTTCTTTTTGAATATATTCTAATTACTATCCTTCGACAAATATAATGCTCTATTCGCTTGTATCCCTTTCTTTTCCCACTAAGCAATTTTAGTTATTTTCTGCATTTTTAATCATTCTTCAATATCGTCCTTAAGTTTGGATTCACATCTCTCCCATAACGTCTTCAATAAAATAAAACTAGTCACATACAGACATACGGAATTTGTTACCGGAAGCACCAGAACCAGACATTTTGTAGTATTATTTAATGTATTTGGTATAAAACAAACAAAAAATTAAATTAATCAACTTCTATTCACTTAGGTCCATCAAAAAATTTTTCACTATACCAACTGCTCTCACCGTAGTCGTCTGGCCGTACTATGGATTATACAGGACAACAGTATATTACACAAACTTGTGAGAACTGAAGAAAAATTATGCGTACGGTTTACCCGGATATTGCAGGAAATGGGGAGAGGGTTAAAACCCTATTGCTCGGAATTGTGACTTTCATTTCATTTCACACACACATGACTTCTCGAGGGTAACACCGAGAACTTCACTTGCATAGATGCGATATATCCGATATTCTAGAATGCTAAGAATAGCGGCGCGGAGGGCTCCACGAGCTACGTTTTACCACGTACTACGGATGTCACGGTTTCAATGTTGACGAAATATACATTGTAATACGCAATATGCAATAAAGCAAAAATACAACATAGATCACAAGATTAAAATGTATATTGACATACTGTTAGCATATAGAACCAGAATCGTAGATAGATATTATATAACATAGAAGAAAGGAAAAAGGGTGGCAGGACGTAGCTTGCAGATATTAAAAAGGACATGTGATGGCGTTCAGTTATTAACGACCTTGAGAGAGCCAGGGTTTCTGGTAACCATGTCAGGTAACGAGCCATCACTAAGTCTTCTTCTGCCGTATTCTGACGAAAGTTTATTTTGGCCTGGGGATTCTGTACCAGGATGGCCGGCAGCCATGAAGAAATCATCATTATTTGTAGTATCTAGGGAGTACAGCGTGTCTTTGTGGTGGTCTATGTGACCGTTGTCATTGCGCCCTGTTTGGGCCATCATAAATGGGTTTGGTGCACCTTCAAAGGTGTCCGTTTTCTCGTTGCTTGGGCCGGATAACGTAAATTCGTCGTCCTTGTCGTCGTCATCCCTGTTACGTTTGAAACAACAAAGGAATAACACCAAGCCAAGGATGAGTCCGGCACCCGCTACACTCCCAATGACGGCACCCACAATGCCCCCTGTGCTGATGGATTTTGAGGATTTGTTTTCTTTGGATGAAGCTTCATTAGCATTCGGTGTTGATGATGACGATGAATTCAGTTCTGACATGGTTACTGCAACAGTTGATGCTTCTTGCGAGCCTGTTGGATTGCTTGTAATTGTAGATATCAAGGTAGTTCTATCGGGCATAGACAGTGATGAACTCAGAGACGATGAACTCGATGTTTCTGATGTAGACGAGACAGCAGAGCTGCTTGTGCTTGGTTCGGCAGACGATGACTCGCTGCTGGAGCTGCTAGAACTACTGCTAGAACTGCTGCTGGAACTGCTGGAACTGCTGCTGTGTGTGGTTGGTTTTGCAGAGGAACTGGACTGGGTACTTGTGCTTGAAGTAGAACTAGAACTTGAACTTGAACTTGAGCTGCTAGAGCTAGAAGCGGAACTAGATGATGACGAAGTGCTTTCGGATTCAACATCACTATTGGAATATACCAAAAAAGCGTTGCTACCACCACAATTCTCTTGGCCATAACCCTGACAACTGACATTACAATCTGAACTGTCAGTTTCATCACTACTATCTGGCTCCGAATCACCACAATAACAATATTTACCGTTCAACAATGCTGCCACCTTCTTACCGGCACATTCTTCTTCACAATGTGATGATGATTGATACATGAATTCATCTTGGTAGCTCAACAGACCCTGAATAGATGACTTCAGATAGCATCCTAGCTTAGAGAACGTGTCCGCTCTCCCAAAGTTAATTTGGATCAACAAGTATATAACCCAGGGTATACCATAATACCTCATGCTGTTCTATGTTTTGAGTATCCTCCTTGTACAAATGAAACAAATGTAAATAGCAATAAAAAAAAATAAAAATAAACAACTGCTAAGTCAAAGAATCACCCTAACTGCACTTTTAGTTGTTTCTATCTATAGAATTAAATGTAAAAAGTAATACCTTTGGTGTTAGTAATAAGTTTCAATACAAATCAACAACTAATATTGTCTATTTTTGTTCCGTTGATCTTCCAAGACTAACACTTATACTGTATGTAAGCAATTCTACGTGTTGAACCACTATGTTGTTGACATTCCTATTGTAAGGAGGCGGAACAATAGGTTTTGTTTTTTTTTACAAGTAAACATTGCTCCTGTACATAGTCGAAGTAGTTTCACTTGCAGTTATAAGAACACAGTATGTGGATAAAGGTACTAGCGCTAAGCAGAATAGTAAGATAGTCATGGAGTATATAAAGGATTATATCGGTAACACATACATGTGTGTTTTGCGGTCTGTTACGTTTATAATGGTATAGGCAGTTTCTATAGTCTAGGCGGGCGCTCCCGGCTAAACCCCGATGGAACTTTGTGGGAATTTGAACAGGGAAAGAGTTAAGATTTACAAGCTTTTATTTCGGGTGTAATTTAGAATAGGCTGTAGAAGATTCATTATCAAGCAATTGAGCCTATGAGTCTATATTAGTAGGTAATGTATTTATAGTATCATGAGTGTTACCTTTTTTTTGTGATTTCTGTTGAATATTCACGAAATTCTCATATTTTGCAGCTGCATTATCACCTAAAACAGCCGTGCGAGAGTCATACAGATACAAAAACAAGACATAGATATCAAATATGAGAGAATAGTCTGTTTTAGGAGCATTATAGGAGGATGTAGACAAGTACAAGCGTACTTAATATTGCAATTGAATGAAAGAATTAGGAAGGAACATTCCTAACGTTACACACAAACGTTATATGATCGATGCATTATAAGATTTTTTTTTCTCATTGTAGACAAATCACTGCCCCCTTACCTAAACCAGTAGATTTGTACTATGTATGGAAAGTCGAAGAGATATCTATTGTTCCTCGAGTAATGATTCGATGCCGGGTAGAAGAATTTTTCATACTAGTCGCTTATCAGGTTTTAAACTTACATCCACAGAAAGAATCAAATACAAGTCCAAATACCATTACTGCACTCCAAAAGGAGTTTCAAGTTAACGTATATTCGTTCATCTGTTATTTCGTATTACTCTAGTACAGGGCATAAAAACTCAAAAATAAGCCGTGTACTAATCAATTTCTCCGATGGTTTAAAAGCATCGAATTGAGCACTAATAAAAATTTTATATTTTCTTCTTCTTTATGTCAAAATGGATAAGAACTGTTAAATAAGTACCTTGCCTTGTTGTTTACAACGAAATGATGGGGTTCACATCAGTAAATTATCCGTAGATCAATTATTCCGTAGCCTTTTTCGCTAACCACGATCATTTGTTTTCCGTAGATCGTTGTTTGATAGTAGTTGGGCTTACATATTGTAATTTCTCTATAGCTGTTATAGACACCTAGTTGTAAGATAAGAGCATTTCATTTTCTATTGTTCTGGAATCTTGTAGATATAGTATTTATTTGGTAAATGTTTTGCTCTTAAGTGAGGACATCTGACCTGAAAAATGATTCTCGAAAACGCAACATTAGCCTTTTTAACAAGACGAGTGTGATCATGTCGGTACCATCATCAATAAAGGTAATAGACGGTATTGTTGATCAATATCGTGAAGAAATATCGCAACTCGACATACCTAACTTTACAACGCCATCATCGTCATATAAAAATCCTACGGTGTCTCCATATGTTAATGAATTTAAATTGAATCGGATCATAAATGATATACCCAGTATTAAGTTGCAATTAAATAAATATAAAGGTAACAAGACGTATCAGGATGTATCAGAGAAGATATTGCTGTTACAGAGCTTGTTGGACGAAAAGTCGTATATCAATGATAAGTTGATTCGTATATGGGTCTCAAGCAAAACAGTTACGGGCTTGACTGATAATGCTAACGAAACAGCTGAAGACAAGACCACATATGACGAAACTATAGAATTGAATGATGATGAAGAGAATCTTGTTTCGTTGCGGAAGAGATTACTTTCAGGCGGTACTCATACGTCTTTAGATGATACTACAAATAACAAGCCCTCGATAGATAAAGCGAATACCTACCACGAATCAATTCAAGAAGACATTTTGAGTGAATTGACGGGCTTTGCCGCAAGCTTAAGAAAGTCTGCTGTTACATTATCTTCGAAACTTTTGGATGATAACGCTATCTTAAATAAAACTGGTGATAATTTAATGAAGAATGAAACTCTAATGAAAAGTGTCGGGAACAATTTAAACAATTACGTTACCAATAAATCAGGGGGAAAGATAAGCTTTTGGTTTTTGTTGAAAATATTGCTAGCTTCTTTTGTATTATTCTTTGCGATGGTTGTGTTAATTAAAATATTTCCAAAGATGTAAATCTTACACTCATTTTAATAAAACCTTTATTTATTTAAAATATGAACATAGAAGATATTTAATGTATAGCTAATAATATAAACAAAAGAAGAAAAGTATTATAAAAACAAATAAGAAAGTAATAATAAAAAGTAAATCGGGAAAATAATTAAATCAATTTAAATGCTGTTGTGAATTATTCAACTAGTGTGATATTTTAAATTTATCTTGGATACAACTTTGTTTTTTTTTTTAGTTAATAAGTTTAGTCTGCTAATTCGAACAAAAGAAATAAAATGAATAAATATGAATAAACAATGAGTGAAAACAAAGCAGATATAGAACGTAGAAGAACTTAAATTTCATCATTCATGAATTCATTATCGGAAAATGATTGATTTGATCCATTATCAATTCCTGCGCTGTGATTGTGGTTTTGTCCTTGATTTTGGTTCTGGAATTGTCTTGGTAAGTTACCACATCTATCTTTACCAAAATTGATTTTTAAATTTTTATAGTCGTGAAATGATTTTATGCCATCGATCGCTTTAATTGCATTTGCTATGTTAACGAAATTTATGAATGCACAATTCTTTTCTTCTAAATAATTAATTTGTTCAATGTCACCGAATTTTGTAAAGTCGTCTCTTAATTTAGATGGGTTATAATATTCAAAATCAGTTATATTACCAATATAAATATTTCTGGACGCACCATTTGAAACAGCCAAAGATAATGCATTAGACAAAGGACCAGAGTGTTTACCCCATCCAACCTTAATTCTACGATTATGAATGGTCAAACCATGTAATTGGCACATGGCAAAAAATTGAGCTGCTGCAATAGGGTCAATAAAAGTAATAAAGCAAACGTGACGTTCCTTTAAAAATCTAATACTTTGCAATAAGCCTCCTCTAACAACGTTACAGATTTCTTCGACTGAAGAGTCTTGATGTAAGTTACCCAAATAAACCGTACGATTGCCTAAATTGTTAGCACCACCTGCTTGCGTAGCAATTTGAGCGGCAGCAGCAGATTGTTGAACCAATGCAGACGATATGAATTCACGATCAGCAGCAGTAACGATATGCTCCATACCTGGTGCTAAACCTAAATATTGAGCTGCGTTATGTTGTTGGGTTTTAGTAATGAAAGCACATCTATCTTTACCGTAGAAGCACTTCTTATCCAAGTACTTTTCTTTCAAAGGTAAATTGGCGACGCATCTTATGGCACTCAAAATAGACAAGAAATGAATGAAGGCAATTCCTTTCTCTGGAATGATCTTTATACAATCAATAACACCGTAACATGACAAATCATCTCTTAATTCTTGTTCGGTAATAATTTCACCGTTAACAGAGTTATTTAAGTTACCCAAGTAAACATTTCTAGTAGCACCATGCCTCTGGATTGATTCCATAACTGCAGGTAATATAGAGCTATTTTTACCCCAGCCAATCCTGACATCATGTCCTTTAATATTCAATTTCTTCAAAATACAATCAGAATGGAACAACAAAGCTGATTGATGGTCTATGAAAGAAATGAAAGCACAGTTTTTTGAGGGCAATATTTTAACCGACTCAAGAATACCGGATCTAACATAGTCCAATAATTCATTTGGTTGAATATCAGATGGAATATTACCCAAATAAACTGTTCTTGATGGCGCAACTGATGAATTACCATTGGAATTTGGACCTACCTGACCAAACACGTCAGGTTGGGTTTGTGGAGTTGGTGGTGCCATATTCGACATTTGCATGTTTCCTGGAGGTCCATTCCCAGGTGTCATTGGAGGGAAATGGTTTGCGCTGAAATGCTGACCCATACCTCCTTGTCCATCATTACTATTGATGAATGAAGCTTCATCGTAGTAGTCATTCCCAGATCCAGGTGTGCTGTCATTTCTATTGAAATTGAATTGCTCTCCTTGGAATTGAGGGTATTGCTCGTATGGAGGCATTCTTGAATCACCTTGTTGCATGCTACCTTCTGGACTCACCACCTGTTCATCTGATCCTTGCTGAGCATAAAACTGGGGATAATACTGTTGAGCCATATATTGTTGTGGAACACCTTGATAAGGATCAAAATACGTCATGATGTAACTTCAATCTTTCAGCTCTCTTCTTATAAACTAAGTATGCGTCAGATGTAAAAAGTGCAAATTAAAATATTAACTCAGAACCTCTTCGTTGAACTTTACTAGGATATATCTTAGCCAAGTTTAGATGAATTCTTTAATACGGACAACCAATGAACTAAATTAACAATAATATCAATGAATTGAATTGTGGAGCAAGTAATAAAACTTTCGTAAGATTAATGAATGAATAAAATTGGATTAACTAATGGAAAATCGACCTGACGTAGTAGCTAAAGATCGAAAATTAGGAAAAAAAAAAGACAAATACAAAGATTATAATATATATCTCTAACTTATATCTTAACAAGTTGTAGGATCAAAGAAATCTTTATTATATGTTGAAAATGTTTGACTTTTGGTTAACTTAATATCAAAAATATTTACTACTATATAATGATCTCTTCGCTTATTAGAGCAGGAATTTTTTCTGAAAAATTAAATTTGTGTAACCGGTACACGCACGCCAATATATTACTAAGTTAAGACAGACTCTAGTTATACTTGATCGAATGAACTGAACAGTTGGGTTATATGATTCGATATTTACTGTAGACTATCTGCTATTTCGTCCGTATTTGAATTCAGCATTTGGTGTGATTCTTTTTGACTGGTGTCTGAATTGGAATCATAATCGGTGGTTGAATTTCGCTTTGCCGTGTCGGATGGTGATTTGGCTGTGTCATTTGATTGCCGAAGGGTAGATTGCCTTGGAAGGATCTTTGCCTCTTCTGTAGTTAAGTCGTTGGCGAAATTTGGGTTGTTGTCGTCATTTTCGTCATCGTCATCGTCACTGTAGTCTGTGACATTACGAGATTCGGAGCTTCCATCATTTGACAGGTGCAGCAGATGCAGTTCATCTACGTCAGTCGTCGGGGATTCGTGATCACGATTTAGTACGCTTGTGACAATTTCTCTATCTGATAGGACCCTTGTAGCAGGGGCCAAATGATCTGATTTATCTTGCGATCTCGTTATGCGGTGTGTTGGCGTTTCTTCGGTGTTTTCATTATCTGATATTTCCTTTGCATCATTTGCTATGGTACCTCTTTTACGACGTTTTTGCACCGGCTTCTTTGAATCATCGGGCGTTCTCTTTCGTTTGGTAGGACTAGTGTAAACCTCATCTAGTTCATCTGGGATTTTGTCTTTGTCAATGGTATGATTTTTTAAATTGAATTTATTCTGATTTATGTACTTTTCGTTCAAGCCTTCCAATTGGTTTAAATTTTTATCTTCCAACTCCCAAATTCTATCTTTCTTTGCATTTAATACTTGATAAAATTTGTCCAGCAAATCTTCTATAATATTCTTATGTTGAATAGCACTCGTTTCTGATTCATTCTTGTAGCATTCATTTTCTTCCTTTAACAACAAATTCGATCGCCGTGACGCATGTAATTCCTTGTTTAATCTTTGGTTATTCAGGAGTAAGACATCTAGCCAATTGAATAAGTTCTGCTCCGATAGCATCATGCTACTTGTCTCCAGGTCATTTTCTGTATCTGTATATGGGAGGTCAATTGAACCTACAGTTATTGGCAATTTTGCATTCGTTTTAATATCAATCGTAATAAATTCGGAAACTAGGGGTAATTCATCATCATCTAACAATTCATTAGTATCAGGATCATAATATTGTTCTAGTGATATAAATTTTGCAGAAAGAACTAGGTCATCTGCAATGGATGGTTCATTATGGTCATCGATTGGAAATAAATGTTGTATTATCGATTCCCATTCTGCAACATTGAAGTGCCCCTTCCTCTTAAACTTAGAACAATTTTCCTTGGTTATATCAATATGGAAGCTTCCTTCCTGGTTCATAGCTGTAAGTGATATATTTGTAAAGCTAGAATTTTCGAATTCGGAATCATTTCGTGAACTATGCAAATAGAGAGAAGCTTTTTTAATGATCTTCTTTGTTTCCTTATCTTCGATAATCAATGGAATGGACTGAATACATCCCGACAATGCAATTTTGCTTGAGGAATTATTACTCCCTTTCATCTTTGGCCATTTCTAATGTTCATCTATTGATATTTGAGATAAAATGAGAATATATTTTGTACAGAATGTAATAATGAAACGGCTAGTAAATGATTTTTGACTACTTGAGCTAGTTCAAATATTTGACTACAGGTAAGATAAATACAATGTTATACAAGATAAATTATAGTTTTATATAAATATCAAAATGCAAAAATATATACACTAGTAAAATGGGCACCATCCGCAGTATATCAATGCCAAATTGTGGGGACTTGTCGCTTCTTGGATAAGCTCTCTAACTATCGCTTCTACGCTTAATCCTCCTGCAGTTAGTTTATCTGATACCATTAAAACTGCTCTTCCACCTTCTGAACCATCTTCTTGTGGCTTCAAGTAACCCACTTCATTTCTGTCACCTTCATTCTGCAATTTTTTTCTTCTTATCGGGGACAAGCTCCAAGAATACAAAGGATCCCAACGTAATACATCCAAAATTGCTAGGATATGATCTTTGTTTTGTCGTAAGACTCTATACGTGTGTTCGCAGGACTTGTCAAAAACGCCATTGACCCCAGTAATCCCAAAACCATCAACAATATCTCTTGTTAGCCTGAAAGGCACAGTCTCGGGTATTGGTAATCTTTTACCCTGGTCAAACGCAACACCTAAATCAATGTGAATGGGCTCACCAGAGGTTTTATCTAATAAAATATTATTACAGTGTCTGTCACCCAAACCCAATATATGGCCCACCATTGACGTTGTGGCGATCCCCCGGGTGTACGAAGTTCTAGTATCAAACCAGATATCGGGAGTAACATAGTTATCAAAAAAGAAATATTTCAAAACTGGAGATATCTTCTTGCTTATTCTGTCATAAGTCTTATATTTTTCGGTTTTGTCTTCAGATTGACAGGCTTTCATTAAATCTCTCGCCTTATCTGCCTTCAACGTATCCATTTTTAAATGATATGGCCTAATAACATCAATTAGTGCTATGGAGTTGGGCACAAATTCAATTATGCCAGTCTCAGGACCCAAAGGAACAGCATTATATGTTCTAACCTTTAGTTCCCGTTTCCTTGTTTCTTTATCTTTCCTGAAAATATTGTTAACCTTTTCGAATACTTGTTCCATAATTGAATCTTGACGTAAATCATCAGTTCCATGTTTCAATAAAACTTTATGTTCCGAGCCATTCGATAAATAGAATGTGGCAATTTTTGGTAAACTTAGACCAGATGTTGCAACGCTAACTTTAGGGAAAACCCTATCCATGTATATCACATTATTATATCTAGTTGATAAATCTACAGACAAATTTATAGTCGGAGGCGGAATATGTGGTAAGGCCTGAAGCCAGTAATTGCCAATCTTCAAACTGTCCAACTGGATTGATTTTCCTTTGGATACTTTATATTCCGCAAGCTTAATCGATTCATTGCAAAACTTCTCAACATTAAGAAGTATTTCGTTAATTTGATTGTCGCCTCGTGTAAGAAGTTGTTGCCAGATATCATTTGCCGCCACAGATTTTGAGATAAGAAGTGCATTGGAACTCTTGTTTGCATATGATTCATGCTTCTTCAAAGATATCAAACCATATAATGAATGATATGGATGGTCATAGCATAGACCTACAATCAAAGACTTTAATAAACTTTGAAATTTAGACGGTTCACTAGAAAGACGAGATATTAATTGGGTTGACCAACTTATTAGTTTGTGATTCGGTAATGATAAAACATTATCGGAAATGGAAACATGTAAATTATCTTTGTTTGAATGCTCTAACCATAAAGCAAAAAATTTATCTAAGTTTTCATCATTATCGCCATCAGTTAATATACTCTTCAAATAGAACTCAACAGCCTTGTCAGAAAATTCACATATACTTTCTTTTAAGGAATTTAGATCAGATAGTTCTCCTATGTATTGAGCTTTTAGTTTCGAATAGTACCGTTGAGCATTTTTCTTCTCGTCAGCTGCAACTGGCATCCTGCTGTAATGTGATTTTAATTCTTCGATCTCAGCTTTCTTCAAATCAACCAGCTTTTCTAGCTTATAGATATGATCATTCAAGCTACGAGATCTGAACTGAGTTTCACAAAAATTTGCTAAAATCTCATACACCTTAGCTTTTTGATCCAATTCTTTGACAGATGTTGCCATATCAGCTGTTGGCAAGACAAATTTTGCCATAATATTTGATGCCAAATCCTGCCTCGAATTAGACATCCAATCAACTAAATTTGCATTAATCAAACTGGGTGTAATATTCATACTATTGATCGAAGTATTAATAGCCTCATTTTGTTGCAGTTCTTTCAACATTATAACAGGAATGCTGGTCTGCCCTTGTTGCCAAAGAGTTCGGGCTATTTGATACTTTGTTAGCTGGCTAATACTGTCTCTAATCAAACGATCTGACTCGCAAAACTTAGTCTTGGAGATCTCATTTACCATGACGATTGAATTAACCAGTTTTTGCAGTTCCTTCGCAATGATTGCGATAGAATTGTATCTAATCAAATCATGCAACAAGCATAACCAGATGCTTTCTTTTTTAAGCAGCGTGCAATCGGAAGATAAATCACCTGTAATTTGAAGCGCTGCTTTTCTTGCTAAAAGTATATTTTCAGACATATCAAAATCTGCCTGTTCAAACCAATTTGTATGTTGAGAGAACTCATGTAGCAGAGTTCTAAAGTCAGATTCTTTATAGCGTAAAACGTCTCTGATATTCGAAATGCATGCCAAACTAATTAGCCATCTTTCTATATTAAATCGGAGTTCCTTTGGGCTGGAACAACGATTAATTATATCATCTTTAATATGCAAAGTTTGCAATAATGATTCCTGACAGGATTCGCCTGCAAAACTTGGGTAATCGTGAATTTGCTTCAATGTTTTATAGATAAGCTGATGTTCCTCATTTGCCTCTTTCGGACATGGAATATCCCAAC